TCTCGATTTTCAGTGCTGTGGCCCAGGTCATTTGGGAGAACACGGTCATAGCCCTCGTTTGTAGTGGTTGGGATCTCGTCAGCCCAGAGGGCCTCCAACGCTTGGCGGAGACCCACTGGCAATCGTCTCTCCCAGCGGCCTCAGTCTTCACTTTCGTGGCGCTCTTCTTGCTGGTCTTTGTCCGGGCCGTGATCATGGACCAACGGAGCCAGGCGATAGTGCCCTGGGAGGAGATCGAGCCTGTACTTTTCAGGCAGGCTGCCACACCCGAAGGAGGAGAAGAGGAGGTTCCCAAGGGGTGGTGCCTGCGACGAGTTGCAGAGATCAAAGATTGGACCTTTTGGTGCGCAGGCATCTGTTTCGGAATCCAAGATTTCGCGTCTTTCATCTTGGAGTGCAAGGCGCCCGAGGCCAGCGTGAATCGTTGCATCAGGTCCCTGCACGCGCACCGCAGCGGTGTGGCCACCGACAGCCTGCGGATCATCTTGCAGCCGGACGAGAAGTTCGAGCTGGAGGAGGAGCCCGAGAGGAGGCAGGTGGTTCGAGCCCAAGGCCGCCGCAGCCGCTTCTCGCGCTTGGTGCAGGAAGTGGGCAGGAACATGGACGACTTCCGATTGGCCCTCCGAGACCTGGGTGCCCGCTGGAACGTCCACATCCATGGGGCCAGCACCGTGCGCTCCATCCTCACAAGCCGGTGGTACATCCGAGTCGGCCTCCTGTTCCCCGCCTTCCATCCCTGGATCGCTTTGTTGCGGCTCAGCCTGCTGACCTCCTACAAGGTGCGAGTGTCCTTGATCTTCCTGAAGCTTACCACTGCCGGGGCCACCAATGCTTTGTTTTTCACCAGCTCGTCGCCTCCTTTGGACTCAGACCCTGCCTGCAGAACACCCCAGAGCTTGGGGGCACGGCTTGTGCAGAACACCGTGGTGGGAATGGTCTCGGCATGTCTCGGCGACTGCGTGGTCTTCGCGCTCTTCTTGGTTCAAGACCGCAAGCCCATCGCGAAGGACTGGACAGAAGAGGCAAAGAAGTGGCAACTGGCAGTTTGGAAGATGCGAGCCGTGGTGTTCTGGCTGGTTTGGCTCGCCTACTTGGCCATTAGCCTGCTCTACATCCTAGTCTTCCTAGCGAACAGGCGCCTCGAAGATGCCCACAGCTGGTACATGAGCACCGGCATGAGCCTGCTCCAGGACTTGGTGGTGCTTCCCCTTTTCCTCGCCTTGGCCCTCGGAACTACAGCATCGCTGGCCTTGTTGAACAGCAGGATTCGAAGGAGCATCGAAGCCAAGTGGCTAGAAGGCCACGAGACCCAGGCCTTCCGCGGAGAGCCGGAAGAGGAGGCGCCCCCAAGCCGCCGGACTTCCGAGCATTCCTGGCACTTCCACGTCGGCCGAGGAAGGGCTCCTGGTGTTGAGCAGGCACCAGAACAGCAGGACTTCGCCCGCATTCTTCCCGGTGTCCCGCAAGACGTCTGAGGAGTGCTGTGCACTATACGGTAGTTCCCTTTCTTCGTGTTGAAAACGATGAGGGGCTTGATCTCGCCTTATGCATGAGCGTATCGTGAACCGCTCAATTTTCCCTTGGCATGTCAACAACCCAGCTCCTGAAACCGCCCTCGAATTTCCCTCGAAGAGGTGACTTGCAGGCTCTTTGTGCTTAATGTGTTTAAAGCTCCGATCGCCATATCTCGGTCGGCAATTTTTTTTTACACCCTTATTTCTTTGAGCAGGTGAGGACTCAGCTCAGCTCTTTTCACACTGGAATTTTCCTATGGCGCGCACATGATGCCTGCCGAGCCCCAGTTCAGAATTCAGCCAGCGTGAGTGAAATCATAGAGAGATCCTGCCAACTAGGCAGCGCCGCTAGGTCACGAAATTCAGTGTAATTAAACCAGCGGAGATAGTCACGTGTTGCAACAGCGATCTCAACGCAGCTTGGCTGTGTGAACTGTTGAGTGCTTTGGGTGTTGCTGTGTTCTCATGCTGTTTGATCTTGGTTTATAGGGTCGGTTGCCTGTAGTTGGCATTGTACTGCTCTGTCAGTCTAGCCTAGTCGAGGAGCATGGAATGCCTCCATGAGCAGATGACTTCATTCGGGGTTTGGGTGGATTATTTGTTTGAGGTCCCTTGGCAGTAACAAAAATTGCCTGCCTTGTGTGAGCGTGTAAGTCGAAACCCCAAACTGTACTTGGAGTTTCCCCCAGCTGATCGGAGGCCACTGCTGAAGTTGTTGAGGTGCCAAAGCGTGCGCAGGAGGTCGCGGCTTTAGAGGGCTTTGGAGACGTAACAATGTGGTATGCGAAACGTGGTCTCACTTTGTCTGACCCAACTGCAGCCATCGAAGCCGCATCACGCCAAAAAAAGAGCCTCCATCCGACTTTCTTTCAGCGTTTCCAGCAGCTGTAGCTTGAATGCTGGTGGTTTGACAAATGACACATTGCCTTTGAAATGCCAACACCGCCTTTGAAATGCCAACACCAGACTTCGCAATGTTCAATCGACCTATCGAACAAGGGTAACGGGATTCAATTTCCATTCTCCTCCGAGTGCTTTTGTGTTTCCAGTCGATGCTGTGACGACCACAACCGGAATGCGTTTTCTTCAAATACTGACATTCTGAGTCTCGCAAGCTCCGCTACCATACGCAGTTTCAGTATCAATCAATCAACAATCTATATATATATATATATTCTCAACATTCACTCAGACAGTATCAATGCAATGCTCAGCGCACAACCAGATCCTATGCAATCCGGATTCGCTCCCGGGCCCAACGCAATGGTGCAATGCAATCAAGCATCTAAGATTTCCCTAAGACCCCCTCAAAGAGGTGGAGTGTCTTGAAACTCATTTCTTAGCAGCGGGGAACCGCATGCAGAGCAGCCAAGAGTTGATAACAGGTTGTTACATTCGACCTTTGCATTAGGATGTGCAGCCAGCGGCCTAATCAAATCTGCAGCCAACATGCGTGCGTTTGAAAGCGTGTCTCTGCTGCCAAGATCGCTCTAGTAGTTTTCTTGGGGCAGCCCCGCTCCGTGGTGCAGGCGGAAGGGATATTTTGAAGCGGCCAACAATGTCTTGACATGTCCGTTCCACTGATGCAGAGATCCCGCCTTCAGGTAAGGCCCACATTTCCAGAAACCGCGCCTGAAAAATATCATGTTCATGTTGCTCGACGGTCAAAACGTGCTTAATGTCGAACAACCTCAACTCTGGACAGGTGCAGAGCTCTGCGGCGCCTTCAGTGTTGCTGCTTGTCCGTGTGTCAGGGTGCGACTTGTTGTCTCGATCTTTTGGATAACACTCTTGGGCAAGTGTTACGTATCTAAGCAGTGCATCTCCATGTTGCGACCAGGATCTGGCTGCAGAAAAGCGTTTCCTCACAAATATGACAACACCAGTGTGGTGCGACAAGGACTTCACCATCGGGGTCAGGGGCACCTATCGCCTCAACAGCGATGGCACTGTCATTCGCGATTGTGAGCCGTCGAGCGATGACGACTTGCACCTGAAGGATGATGGCACCGGCCTCGAAGAGAGCTCTGTGAAGACGACCAGCATTCGCTACGAAGGCACATGGCAAGCGCTCGAAGAGGAAGGGAAGGTGAGTGTGAACTTGCGAACAAGGATCCGGACCACCTCAGACGGCAAGACAGTGTCAGAGGGCACCAACATGTTTGAAACCTTGCAATGGCGAGGGGATGCATTTGAGGACTAAAGCCCATGCATTGCTTGTTCTCTTCATGAGAAACTGTTCGATTTGGATTGGACTCGCATTGCTCCGCAACTGCTTGGTTGGTCGCAGCAGGCGCGACGGTTGAAAGGGGAAGCAGAAACGGAGAAACTGTGCGGAGTGTATTTTCGCAGAAACGCACACTCAAGAGTTTGTTAGATGTTGTTGGCTTCGACTAGTCCTGTCGTCTGGAAGCTCTTATGCATAGCTTGTGAATGATGACCCTGAACTTCAAGCCCGAAGCATGTTGCACCAATGTTTGATTGTGGATGTGGAGGAGACAACATGCCACTGTCGGCGCACTGTGAGCATGCCATTGCTTATTCAGGCAAATTGAGGAAGTGCTTGGGCTACTGTCTTGCCACCGTGTGTCCGAGGGCACCCAGCAGGTTTAAGTTGGCGTGCGCGTGTCGGCACCGAAGCCAGTGAGAATCCAAAAGCTTCACAACTTCACAGGACGTTCGTAAATTCATGCATCTGGGCCGTCACAACAAGCCAGTTTTGCGGGTCTCCGGTAGGAGCTCTCGCACCAAATCCGGCTTCACAAAAAGAGAAGTCCACCTCGGTTCACGCTGGCGCGGACTTAGATGCGTGTTGATAAGATTGAAAAAGTATAGCATAGTTTGGGCGGCGGGAGGCCATTCGATTTAGGCTCCGGTTCATTAGCTTGCAATGCAAGTTGCAATCCAGCGTGCCTGCAACGTTCGAGCGTCCACAACTGGTGCTGCATGGCTCAAGTTCGTTTGACTCGGACAATAGACATGGCTGTGCCGTCAAGATTGTGTTCAATGGCCCGCGGTCGGCTTCAAAGTGTGGCCGATTTCCAACGTGTGCATTTTTGGTCGAGTCTAGCGCAGTACGGAACGTGCATTGATCGCATACGACATGAGTGCTGTTTGCAGCCATAAGCTTGTGCAAACACATGGTGCGAGACTCAGCCCTGGTTGCGGCGGCGAGTTGTTCTGGATCATCGAAATCCTTGTTCCTTTTTGCAGGCGTTTGGCCCGCAAATGGTCCCCGACCTGAGTTTATCAGTGCCCCGCTTGGGCACCGAGAAATCTGCGCGGAACTCAGTGATGAGGCTTTCGACAGATTTTCGCTCTTTCGTCGATCACGTGTCGAGATAGAAAATTGTGGCGGTAATCGTGCATACCTCATACCCGGACCACTCCACATGTGTAGAGGATAATGTCACGAGACAATTACATAATTCCGAAGTATTGTTGCAACCGGAAAGTGCCAAGAATCTCCGGCGATCCGCTTGAGCCATGGTTGTTCTTGTCGGTGGAGGAACAGGCAATGTCGGTTCTGCCGTGGTGCAAGCGCTGTCATCTTCTGGTTTCGTGCGGCCCCTACAGTCACCACGTCATAGAGTTTCTGTGGAATGATGTACCCTCGAGCATATACCCTTGTGTTGGCATCATCGCAGGCTGTGAAGGTTTTGTCGCGGGATCTGTCCACAGCGAAAGCATCGAAGCTCTCCCATTTGCCCGGCGTCTCATGTGTTCAAGGCGGCCCCCAAGCTCTATATCCGGTGCCGTTGCAAGTTTGGCTGTACATAGTGAATCACGGAACAGAGCAGCATGCAAAAGCTTGCTTGCAGGTGACATGAGCGATGCTACGGCTCTGGCATCTGCCTTCGATGGCGTCACTGCCTGCTTTCTGGGCTGTTCAAATTCTGCTCCCTGGCGGGAGTTTGGGCCGAGGGTTGAATCCAAGCCCGAATACCAAAATACCCTAAACCCTAAACCCTAAACTGTAACCTTAAACCCTAAACCCTAAACCCTAAACTGTAACTTTAAACCCTAAACCCTAAACTGTAACCTTAAGCCTTAAACCCTAAACCCTAAAAGCCCTAAGCCCAGGAACAGCAGGTTCGAGACGAGGTCGCCTTCATCGACGCAGCTCAGAGCCGCGGCTGCCGGTACCTGGTGAAGCTGGGGACCTGCGGGGCTCCAGGTACCAACCCTGCCACGTTTTTGAGTTGAGAGAGGTTTAGAGGTTTAGTGTTTAGGGTTTAGGGTTTAGGGAGAAGCGTGGAGAGAAATGTCTATACTCAGAGAAGATGACTTTAATAAAAACACACAAGCAAGAAAGAAGGACCAAGATGTGAAGAGGAGAGTCGAGATTGTCCGGATGGTGACAGAGTTGCTGCCAAGATGTTCACAGCGGAGTGTTGGACGTGCTTCCTCATTTACCACGTGGTGCAAGTAGCTAACATGAAAAGTATATGCTCTACATGGGTTATAACCAAAGCATCCACAACAGCATAAGGCCTTCAAGAGGTGAAGGTCATCGGTCCACCAGTTGGTGCCAGGCTACACCTCCGCAGATAGCATCATCCAGTATGGCCGTTGCCTGCCTTGCAAAAACGCTGCTTTTCTTCTGGGAGTTTTCGAGCTCGTTGCATAGTTTGTTCGGTGGGAGCAATCGAAAGCAGACAAGAAGCCTGGTGTCCGCTCTTGCGCTCGCCGTTATGAGGTTTGAGAAGGCAACTCGTAGGGTTCGCAGGGATCTTGTTGAATCTCTTGGAACCAACGCCCAAGGAAACTGTGGCTACGGGCAGAGACCGGTTTCGATCAAACTCCTCTTCTCCAAGCCACGCCAGGAGTCTGTCAATCGGACCTGCTGGAAAACCAAAGTTAAGGCAAGGGTTTCGAAATTGGGTTTTACTTGGAAAAGTCTGCTTGCATTCCTCGTTGTTTTGAAAGGCCTTGTGATACTCCAGCAGCTGCAGGTTTCCATGCTGAGATCGAGAAGCACCTGTCTTCGACAGATCTAGAATGGACAGTCCTGAGGCGGGGCGGCGTGGACGCGAAAAGTGCAGTATTAGTGCCCGTGTTGCATGTTTTTGTCACTTGTTTTGTTGTCAATGACTTCGTTCATGGTGCCGCATCATTGCGGTCATGGTGTGCATCATTTGTGCGATAGGCCTGACTGCAGCTATAATTATCGTCGTGACTCAGAAGATTTTGGTCTACTACTCTTGTGTTAGATCATCTCACTACTATCAATTTGCTGCCCTTCTGCCCTCCTCCTACTACTGCTGCTGCTGTTGCTACTACGACTTCTACTACGACAAAGTTCGACATACTGCTGGTACTAGTACTCGTTACTACCACCACCACTACTACCACTA